TTTTTGGATCGACCTCGTCTTCTGGGAAAGTCAAAGCCTCCTTTTTTCCTTGCAGCATAAATTCGAACCATGCTAGTGTGGGAAGATAAAAACACTGTCTTGATACATTGGTAATGCCACCATGACCGTAGCGAAATATGTATTCGATCATCTCTATAAAACTATGCATGGACACGAATATGTGGCATGTCTCTAAGGGCATTAATGACTGTCGAGAGCCTTATCACTAGCCCGCTACTCGTAGTGTAAACGTAGATCGTAACTAAATTTCATGGCATTTCCATTGATACAGTAGAGAAAACCTCCGTAAAGACCTAATAATTGTCGCAGTGAGGTTTACCGTGAATTCACATGAGACAGGATATCTGATCAGGCAGGTTGTCAACAAATGGGCTTCTATATGAACAGTTTAGAACGAATAACATCGATTGTTTTGAAGCTCTGTGATTTGCTAGTAAGAATTAATTGTCCTTCATACATTTTTTTGTAAGTTTCAATAATAGCGTGGGCATAACGGTCAACCACCAATATGAACTATTTCCTGTTTTAATGTCTGCTTCCCGGGCACGGGTAGCATTTTGGTTAATGATGCCCTGCAATACACACATGGTCATTGGTTGATCACATGCATAGATTCACAAAGCCTTCTATCATTCCGGGTTGACCGCTCTGGCCCTAGACTTGTCCACTAGGATAGCCGCTTGACTTGATAAACATGTAAGCCACTGCAAGTTATTGTATAACTTAGATATGGATTCAATCACCTCTAACGATATTTAATGAAGACAAATGTATGCACCCGGTTCAGGAAGTGGTCAACGCCGAGGTAGATCTACGCTTCAGCTTAACCAGTATTCCGTTGTGTACCAAAAGTGGTTTTTTTCTATTTACCAAAAGTGTCGACAACTGCGTTCAACTTTACGTTGTCTTTCCCGTTTGTATTATATAATGAAAGACATAAATGAAGTGTTCTGTTCGCAGTGAGTTCTCAACATGGTGGAGAAGTGAATCCGCGTCTTTGCTACATAGAAAGGTTCGAAGAGCGTTGTTGAGTGGGACATGTGATCCTCCACTTGGTCGGTGATCTATGCGAGAATTTCGAATGTATGAGAAAGTTGAAGGAAAAACTTAACAATGGGAAAATACCGAGAGAATAGCTTTTTATTTGCTGCCCATTATTTTTTTCTTGGTAGGATATTATGTGAAATACAACCAGAATGAGGATGAGATGCTTGCAAAACTCAGAACCCAGGTCAGGTTCGAAACTGCGATTATGACTTAATACCTTACCATAAAAAATTATAGGCAGTTAAAAGTTATGCATTGTGATTTCGACTGCAGCCTCCGCTTCTCTGGGTTCAATGCCGGTTCGTACTCCCCAGATGGCTCCCCTTGAAGGGTGACTACTGATGGCAGCGTTAGGGTAAAAAAACTGGTTGAGAGAAAGGCGAGACAGGGGACTCAGCTGGCGTGAAGGGTAACTTGTGAGCCCCGGAAATAATCACGGACTTGAATCTGATCTGGGCTCTAAGTTTTGCAAATATCCTGGCAGTGTTGTGGTTTTACTTTACTGGTATAATAATTTGACTACTGAAGAGTTAAGGTGACGAATGTGTGACATAAGTAGTGCGCAAAGGCCGACTCGAACTGAAGCTCGGCACTGACTAACAAATTGCTTTGTTCACACGAATTGTTCTCGAATTGTTGATACGAACTTGTTAACATGTTTAGTTCGTAATAGCTAACGTTTCGGCAGATTTATCCTTCTCTAGAACCTCAAACAGAACACATTAATATAAAGCCTTGGTGAAACAAGTGTATATTTTGCATTTGTCAAGGCGCTCTAGCACAGATATTTCAGGACTCCAGGGACAATCGGGTTCACCAGCATCCAACGACATTCATAAAGAAGACGAAAAATTTCAAGTACCAGTCGCAACCACACGAAAAAGTTGGACGACCTTCATGGAAGGTGGATGCAAGGAATTACAACGAGTGCAAAAAGTGTAGGAATCGGCACAACAGATATGAAGACGAGTCATCTAAAATTAACGAAACCGATGATCCATAACAATTGCCGGATTCATGTGTTCGATCTGGTGCTGCTTGAGTATTTGTTGTTTCCGCTCCCATTGATATGGTTCTCAGATTTCCTAAATTTTCTCAGAAATCCCCACGTAACCGTGCTGAAGTGCCTCCAGTTTTCGCCGACAGGCGCTAAGCGGCCGTTGGAGAGCAAAGCGAGGTTTGCTTCATCGTGACTAGTATTGTTTTTGAATGGCCGCGAACCCTTTCACTTGTAGACTCCCCAGTCAAGAGCGACATAACTGATTCAATGCTATGGTGAAATGATAGTATAATTAATACTTGGATAATACTTGGATATTGTGATTTCAACTACAGCCGCAGCTTAACTGGGTTCTATGCCGATTTGGGCGCCCCAGATCATTCCCGCTGACGGGTGACTGCTGTGGTAAAGATCGATAGAAATAGCTGAGAGACAGGCGAAACGAAGGACCCGCATGTTGTGGTGGTGAACGCGCTACTCCCCGGAAAGGACAATAACGCATTCGTTCCCCACCATAGACACCTGCGGTCCAGAGTTTTGCAAATATCTCAGCAATGTTGTGGTTGTATTTCGCTTAGTACCCTGCCGCGAAATTATAGTAGGCAGAAAATAAAAAGGTATAACATTGTAATACTTGGATACTTGGATACCCGGACGGTCCGTCTTCACGAGCTGTGCGGAACCCAGCACGTATGCCATTCGTTCCCTTCTCTCGCAATCGTAATCCATGGTGACGGTCTTATTCGGGCATGGTAGCACTTGCGAGTCTCATACCGTGATCTGTAAAGTAATTGCAGCTGCGGACATAGCTAGCTTTGTTTACGAACACGTCCGCCCAACTTGTAGGTGGTCGTCCTAGACGTTTGAATTCTCGCTGAGTCCACTCTACAAATCTTTTCGTCCATCTGTCGTTGTTCTTCTCACTATGTGACCGGCCCATCTATGTTTCGCTGTCGATGTATACTCTCCTGGATCTTGAAAATGTGGCATATTTCGAAGGTCAGAGCTTCGAATTCTGGCTAGATACTGAAAGTTCCGGTTTTATTTCAGAAGACATCGCTCAAGCGCTCTGTGAATAGTTCGAAGCATTCTTGACGTAGTTGAAGCATCAACCCAGGTCTCTGCAGCATAACAGAGCGCTGGGATAACCGTAGAATCAAAGAGATGAGCGCGAATTTTCGGGTCCTTCAGTTGGTCGGTGGCTTCTTTGAGAGGCCCGAATGCGGCCGAAGCTGCTTTCCTTCTTCTATCTAGTTCCTTCTTCATGTTGTTCTTGATCGCCCAAGGTACGAGGTGGTCTCTGCAATGAGAGAGCCAACCAATTCAATTTTTTTGCATCGCACCATGGGTTTTTCATAAACTGGGTCTTCTTTCGATTTATGCGAAGTCCGATCTTTTCTCCCGCTTCGTTGAGCTCGTTGATTATCACCTCTGCTTCGCTAGTACTTCTTGAGAAGGTGACAATGTCGTCGGCAAAACGAAGGTTTAGTAGGAATTTTCCATCAATACGCATGCCTTTCTCATGCCAATGAAGTGACTTCATTATCCACTGCAGTGCGCCACTGAACAGCTTTGGTGATATTGTGCAACCCTGTCGAACTCCTTTTCTTATGGGTATGGTAAGAGGTCGATAGAAAAGCTGCATTTTTGTAGTGCAACTCCGATAACAGTCGGACAGAGTCCTTATGTAGGACGGCTCCACTCCTTGGTCGACGAGCGCTGATAGGATTGCATTCGTTTCGACACTGTCAAACGCTTTATCATAGTCGACAAAGGTTAGGACTAGAGGCAAGTGGTATTTCCGACACACTTCGATGACCCTGGGCACGGTTTAGATGTGGCTCATGCAGCAAAATCCTTTTCGAAATCCTGCTTCATGACTGGCTGCACCTCATCCAATGTCCTCGATATGCGCGGGAGAACAATCTTTACGAAGAGCTTGTAGAGTACACTTAACAAGCATATGGGACGATAATTACGAAGATCCTTTCGGTCTCCCTTCTTGGGCAGGATGACCGTGCGCGGCGTCCTCAACTGGTTTGAGATTTTTTCCTTTTCAAGGTAGCCTGTTATATGATCTGCGAGAAGTACATGTAAATTGTGGGTTCCAGCTCTAAGGAAATCGGCAGTGATACTATCGGGTTCTGGAGCTGTGCCTCTTTTCATGCTTTCTATAGCTACTCGAACCTCCGACGGAAGCATTCCAAGTGGTTTCCTCCAGCGGGAATATTAGGACTCGGGACGGGAATTGTGGAATAGAGAAGGTTGGTGTAGAACGTTTTCGCTATTAATTCTATATCGTGGCGGGAAGTTTTGACTATCCCATCTTCAATGCTTTTCATCAATAAGCAGACACGAGGTTGTTAATATAGAATTTATTAGAACACAATTGCTGACGTTTCGGCGGTTTCGCCTTCTTCAGAGCCGTTTATTTGTTGTAAGTATTTAAGTTAGTTGGTGGATAGCCGCCGCACAGAGTAATACATGGTCGATAACCTTCGTTCAGAATCTTCCTGTCGAATACAACTAGACTTTTTTCTCGTGGCCGATGAAGAGAGTTATTTTCCAGCTTGCGGCTGAATCGAATCATCGCGTGAAGAAGGCGCTGATCGGAACCAGTACAGAATGACAGCACTACCGATGTGTCAAGTAGGCACCATCTTCTCTTTGTCAGAATATGGTCGATATCCGCATGAATCATGCCGTAGGGAGACTCCCATGTCCAGCGACGGCTTTCTTTCTTCAGGAAAAACGAGTTTCCATGGAAGAGACGTGCTGCGGACAAAAGTCCTGCGAGGCGGTTCCCAATCTCATTTCTTTCTCCTAATCTAAAATTTCCGATCCTGTATTTGCTCTCGTTGGCCTTTCCTATTCTGGCGTTGAACTGTCCAACAACAAATTTATGACATGCTTTATCATTGCGGATGACTTCCTAGCAGAACGCATTTAATTCGTCCTCATCAGCTGCGTCGAACGGTGAGCTGCAGTTGATGATCTTCTTATGATGCGACAGTTGAAGACGGAGGACGGCAATGCGAGGGGAAAGGATCACGCATGAGTCGACGAGATGGACATTGGACGAGTGGACGACAAAGCCTACTCCACCGACATTTCGTGATTGGACCTTTTCTCCATAAATCACAAGGGTCCCGTTTTTTAGTTGGCGTATGTCGGTCTGCCTGATTTTTGTTTCTTGTAATGCGATCACATGAAATTGAATGCGATCTGCGGCTACAAGAATGGCGTGAAGATCGGCGTCTGTGAAGAGTGTTCTGGCATTATATGTGCATAGTAAGAAACATTCCTCATGGCGTGTCGTGCGTGTGTTCGTAAGATCCTGTTCCAATGACATCCTGCGTAGCCCGAGATTTTTTGGCCTCTCACCGGTCGTCTCACTGCCTGACGTCATAGACGGGAGCGCCCAGTGTGCGTGGTACTGATGCTGGCTTATTGCTGGTCGTGCAACTTGGTCCTCCCTGGAGTCCTGACGTAATTTTGCTAGGGCGTATCTAGGTCTACACCACAGTGCGGATCAGAGGGAGGTGTCGTATAATTAATAATAATTAATAGCAGTAATAAATAATAATAATAAACAGCAATCATAAGTAAAATAATAATAATAGCAATGAAAAATAGAGAGCGTTCACAACTCTTTACTCACCAAAGCCTGTTCTAGGAACTAAGAACGAAATGACAACTTAAGGAAAGGAATTCTATAAACTAAATGGGACTTCAACATGTGTTTGTTGTTCAACAGATATTTAAGTACACATTTAATTCAGCTGTTATGAGCTAAAAATATGACAACAATCTCTAGTTTTTCCTATGTTTATTTTATTTATTATGTTTCGAACGATTTCCCGCACAAATTCAAACTTGGATGCAAAACTGGAGAGACGGCTTGCATTATCAGTGGTTGCATTTCGTTATGGAAATGACACCCTTGAGTATCAGCAGAATGTGGACGACCAGCTATCACTGGCGAAAGCACTTTGTGGACCTACCTTCAGCAAAGAGATGCATACAGATCCAAGAACATGCAGAAGAAGTAAAGATATGTGAACTACAAACTTTGCTAAGTTTGCAATGGGAAGCCAAAATAAGCTTGACGTGCCTTTGCGCGTGTAGCGCAGTGGTCGGAAGCGCCATCCAATAGACATGGGACCAATCTCACACCCAAGGCCCACCAAGACCTCCATCCCTCCGGAGTCAACGAATTCGTACAAGATTTCTCTGGGAGTATAGCAGCATTTCAGAGATGCGTCGGTAGGCCGTCAAAATTCATTGTAAAGACCAGATATGAATTCAATCACCTCCAACGATGGTTAATGAAGTTGAATGCACGGCGCATCCCTCAAAGATTGACCAACGTCAACAGCTTTTTTTTAAAATTCGTGTCGCAAGAACTGAAGAAACAGGGTTGACGGGTGATTGCTGATGGCGAAAGATCGATAGAACTAGCTGAGAGACTGGCGAAACGAAGGACCCCCATGGTGCGGTGGTGAACGCACTACTCCCCGGAAGGACAATAGCGCGTTCATTCCCCACAGCAGACACCTGCGGTCTGGGGTTTTGCAAATATCTCAGCATCATTGAAAGTTGTATTTCGTAATATACCCTGCTATTAAAAAGAGTAGGCAGTAAAAAGCGGTTAAGATTGTGAAGAAACAGGAACAGAGATTGTCGAACTGTTCTGTGCTTTTGCGCAGAAAAAAAGCGACCAGTCTCTTGATTGTATCATAATTCTGTGCGATAACCGAGACATGGATTATGTAGTTGATTGACGACGTTATTCTCAGCGGTTAGACGGAGATGGAACCAGAACTGAAATCCATGGGCCGAACCACCATAAACTCGCACAAAGTGTTAGTTTATCTCTAAACACTGATTTTTATTTAAACTTGGAATAAATATTAGATGGTTTCTTGAATTATTAAGCATTCATGGGTTGGCAATAAGTTTTATTCGGCTAACATTTCGACGTCTTCGCTTTCTTCAGGGCTGAAGTCATCCGTGTGGACTGTCTACAGGTGGTCGTCTTTGCGATGTGGTCATTCCAATCTCTCATCTAGTCGAATCCACTGAAGTGGGGCACCGATCGAATGAAGAACCATGCCCTGTCCTTTTAGGAGGGACGATCCACCATATATCAGATGTTCCATGAAATTCGCACCTTTGAAATCTCCAAGTAATTTCCACCAGTTGCTTTCTCCACTTACAATTTATCGATTACTTCATTCGGCACTTTTCACTTGAGAAATTGAGAAAGTAAACCTTGGTATGAGGGAAAAGCATTCGCCGCAATGATTATCGTATCGTCGTCCGCCCGTCTAGAAAGACAGTAATATAAAAAAGGAAAAAAACTGAAATGGCTGAGCCATATCTCGCTGTAACTGCATTAAACATCGGCTCATACATTGTACGCTTCCACAATTAGGATGAGTAGCGCCAACAGAACGACCCTCGCGTCGATGATGTTGATGGTCTTCTTGTATTCAACAAGAGCTAAGAACAACAGCGACTGGTACTCTCTAAAGAACTTTATGTTCAGAATATGTTTTAGATCTATCTCAAATAGCAGAAGTCAATGCCGAAAACCATGCTGCTCAAGTAGGTTCGTTTCATCTAAAGATCATAATACGAGTGTTCATCACAGCTGTAATCATTTGAACTAGATTGTTTGACGTAATCAACGGCATGAGACATTTGCCAGACATCTAGGTTACAGAAAATTGATCATTTGGTGAAGAAGGCTACCGTCATTCTCTGAGTACATATGTTCACGAAATTTTATCAGCAGTTCTATGCGCGCTAAATCCCGGATTCGTCAAACAAAAATTCAGTTCAGCGGCAATAGACAAGCACTTCTGCTACAATTATAAATAGAAGGAGAATGTCTTTTGTGATTAAAGTGCTTTGATTGGTTTTTCCAGACAAAGTAAGAATAAAAAGGAGAACAATACATCGGTATCGTAAAATGCTTCGATCAATGTCTCTCCTGTAACGTCAATAATCTCGCAACACTCATGCAATGTCATATGGAAAAAAGTGTCGGATTATACTGCTAACTACAATGCTAACGGGTGAGTGCTGATGGCACTGATCAATAGAAAACTATCTGATAGACAGGCGAAAGGAAGGACCTGCATGTGTGGTGGTGATCGCCTTAGCCACCGGAAAGGGTAACAACAGACCTGCGGCCGGAGTTTTGCAAATATCTCAGCATCATTGTGGTTGTGGGATTATAGTTTGAGAGCGAAACAAGTAACTGAAGGTTCGGGTATTCAAATGCGAAAAGATGTTAACTAAAGCTTATAAGCAAGTTACTAGCGAATCCAAATGATGTGACCACAACGACCTAAGCGAGTTGGTAGACTTCATACCGACTGATAGTTCATATGTGTTGGTCTGAATAAGACACGGTGAAACAAAATGACGTGACGATAAAAATTAATCGAAAGTGGAAAACAAGTAAGCAAGCAAACGGACTGAATACAAAGACGCGTTCTGTTTATTGCATTCCAGCCAGGTGTTAGATGTAGCCAAGACATTGCTCAATACGCAGCAGTAACTTAATAACAAAGGATTAAAATTAAAATTAAGACAGATCCGTTCCTGTAATGGATTAACAAGGTAGGATGAAGAATAAGTAACACATACCAATATTACTCGACTAAGAGTAGCAAGTACAAAGTTTATAGTTGAGTAGCCCTCCTTGTATGCTGTTGTGAAACAGAGGATTTTGTTCGATTTTCGTAATCCCATATCTATCGAGACCACGAACGCCACAAGTGAAAGACGCGAAGGGCATGCCATATGACCAATGACAATAATGACCTAACACAATCCAGTTGCCATTGCGAGAGCCATTTTCGTTAGTGTAGTGATTGGATGGTCCCTGCCATTCCTCCCGTACACGCGTGATCTTTGGTATGATCATATGCTTCGCTCGAAATCACCAAGTCTTTCATTTCTCGGAGTGGGAACAGAGGTACCAGTTTTCTGAGGTAAGAGTTTGCTCTTTGCAGGCAAACTGAGAAGGCACTCTCCTGGCTATCTCAGGATTTCAGCAGAAAATCGGCTCGACCCGCAATGATCGACATTCATAACGAAAAGGAAATCCCCATGCTGCTACGGACCTCACATGCAATAGAAATTCGAAGCCTTTCGTGGATGATGGATGCAATGAAATGAATCGAATGTAGGAAGTACTGGGATCGGCACACTAGATATGAAAAGAGGGGTCGTGTAAAATAAAAGAAAAACTGAACTCTAGGCACTCGAAATATAAGGTAGGAACACTTCTTGAAAAGCAGAAGAAAAATTAGAAGAAAATAAAGAAAATAGAAAAAATGTTCGTAGATTTAGGTTTGAAACTATTGAATTGTGGCCAGGTTTATACTCTCTTTGAGATCGCAACAAATTTCGGCTGGTGTTGTAGACCCTCAGGCACTGAAAACGAAAACGGCAATTGTCCCATGCAGGAAAAAATAAAGAAAAAATTGCGAAGTTTCTATCCAAACGTTGAAAAATCGATTTCCTCCTGAAAAAAACTTTCCACTAGTTGTTTTATTACTAATAATTCTCATTGGAATACCCTTAAGGTCTGGTATCTTCGTGTGATATAAGTTGTTTCAATTTGTAAACAAACAGTTGATTTGTCTGGAACACGGCAAATCACTCGAAAAAAATAAAATGAAAGCCATCTAGAATAGAGCGTAATAGAGCTCTATAAAATGAACAACGAAGAGTTCACCAAATTTTATCCTGACCAATGTTTTCAAAAAATTTCCCGTTTCAACAAAACTTTAAATGAAATTGTGTTTTCAGCCTCATTGGTCGTACTTGGTCAAATAATAATATTCTCTGGCTTGGCATTGAAACTGACCTATTGGTGCAGATGTGCCTTACTTCATTGATAAGCTAACACGAGATTATCACTGGACATTTGTTCGGCTAACGTTTCGACTTCTAGGTCTTCCTCAATCCCTTTGGTGCTTCCGTAATTTTTGATACCTCTTTGGTTCCCTTGTAAAAGCAGCAAAAGTTGTTCCCATCTAACTTAGTTATGGAGCAAAGTTGTTCATTTTATTAGCTTTCCGAGTTGGATTTATAGGTGGAGCACGTCAGAGCTATTTGGGAGTGCATCAGAAACGGATCCGTCCCTCATAAATATCGTATTCTTCAGATTCAAGTAATGACCAATTTTTTTACAAGCGCCGGAGTTGCCGAGCACCAGCTTCCATTACTATTTTATCCGATAGGAATAAGGGATAGTTACCGATGTTGTATAGATCACCGCTTCTGAACAACTGCGCGCTCGAAGTGGAGCTCCGTTAACTGGGAATTCACATATTACATGGAACCGACAAAGTGCCAAGTCGGGTATAAGAAAGAGGAACAGACGACAAAGGGTGTCCGTCCGTCTCAATATGATGTCCGTTATGGTAATAATATAGAGACAAGCGGAAGAAGCTTCCAGTGAGATTGGAGTAAAAGTTCTGCATGACTTTTTCCGTTGCCTTTTACCATTTACTGACCATTCTGCCTCGATGCTTGGAAACGACAATTTCGTTCTCGTCATTGATGAACTCCTGGAAGACGTTTCTGACGCTTTGTTTAACGTTTACAGCTTTAGCCAGTACTGTTTTTGTTCCTGTTCCCATACTGCCAAAATTGCTTAATCGCTTGTATGCAGTGCATTGCAGCCTTGGAAGGAAACAAATGAAGGCTTACGACTAAGGGAGCTCCAGATAGTGAATTAGCCCCAGAGTTTACGTAACACGCGTCCTAACAACGCCTGTGCGATAAAGTCCTTCGAAGTTACCGCTATTTATACAAACGTATCGAACAGCTTCGCTATGCAAGCTGTCCTTGAAAGTCTTATACAACACAAAGGAACAAGAAATGCTTGGCTTCACGACAGAGCAGTTGATAGCACCTTTAAAAGAGTGCTTGAGCTGCTCAATCTTCTGATGGTCTGAAAAGTACTATGTCCAAATAAGAGAGTTGGTAATGGGACAGTGACTGGCACCAAACCTTGCCATTGCGTTTATTTCTAAGATTGAAGCACCAGCAACCGATCTCCGGCCGTTGCTCTACTGTAGATATACAGATGACTGTTTTGTCCTTTGCTCAACACAAGAGGAAATGGACAAATGTCTCGAGTTGTTTAACCAACAGTCAGACTATATGAAGTTCACCCGAGGAAACGAAAGAAAACTGGCTTCCATTCCTGAACGTCCAAATTAACTTGCCAGAAAATGGCTACATTACGAAGTGGTACCGAAAGCCAAATAGCAAAAACATCTTTCAGTAACTCCAACGACCGACTTTCTATTAACCTCGGCATTGATCAAGTAATTCTTCGTATTCTTGTTGAGCAAACACGAGGTGTTATTTTTATTCTTTATTCACGAAAAAGCTAACGTTTCGGAGAATTTCGCCTTCCTCAGGGCCTGGAAAGGTCAAGTTGACAGCAATCTATTCGGCCAAAAACCTCCATAACCAAACAAAGGGAGCGCTAAACCAAGGTTTCAATCAGATTGAACACAGCTTTGCACACTCGCCACTTTCTATGAGGCTTCCACTGCGAATGTCTCGTAGAGAATAAATAGAGAAGTGAATAATTAATTCGTGAATAAAGAATAAAAGTAACACCTCGGGTTTGCTCAACAAGAATACGAAGAAAAACATCTTGCTTCATTACCTCTCCTCTCACTCTTCACACACAAAAAGGGCGCTTGTAAGATACATGTTTCGAACAACCACCAGCTTGTGCACAGGAAGAGAGCAGAAGGAAAAATCCCGGAAACTGACGCGGGAAATAGCCATTTCCAATGGCTACGAAACTGTAGCTCTTCGGAGTAGGTGTAGAGGAAGGTCCATGCCCCAAACGATAATTCTAGCGATAAAAAGTTCCCGTTTATCTTGCTCTTCGTCTCAAATGAGCTAAGTGCAGCTATAACACGCTGCTTAAGAAAGGCCGGTTTACAGAATTCGGTTAGAGTAATAAGAAATACCACCGGGCATTCTAAAAAGCCAACTAGTTCGCAACCGCCTGTATGATCGTCTATGTACAACGCAAAATTGTATAATTTGCCCCAACGGTAAGGACGGTGATTGCATGAGTTCGGGTACAGTCTATCTAACCGCTTGTAAAGCGTGCGGAGACGAATACATTGGTGAAAGCGGTACATCATTCCACGTCAGTGTAAAAGAATACTTAGTCGATAAAATTAAAGTTTGACTAAATAGACTACAAGGCGTGCACAGGATGCAGAGGCATAACGGGAAATATTTTGCACTAGAAGTTGTTATACTTGCGCAGAAATCGAAAATGCGTGCACGCAAACACTTGAAGCATTCCGGACAGATTCCATAAAGCCGAAGATGAACCGCAGCGAGGAGCGCCTCGCTATCACACGCAATCTCACGCAGTATTTAAAACTGATATTTTAATGTGAGAAAGGCACATTACTCATCCAAATTCTGTGCTGTTGATCCCCAAGTGAAATACCTAGTAGAAGGCTCATAGAAAGCGATGAGTGTGTCAAGTAGCAGTTTCGTTTTCAATGTGGTTGAAATTTTGGTTTAGTGTTTTTCTGTTTTGGTTATGTAGACGTATAGTATATGGCTGACTAGGTTGCAGTCAACTTTGCATTCCTACCTTTCTAGGATCAGGAGGGAGCGAAATCCACCGAAACGTCAGATGTTGTGAATAAATAATATACAACTACAACTTCGTGAGCATTAATCAAGAAAATAGCGAGTTAACTCTTTGGTGGTTCTATTATTTTCACTGCATTATAGACCACTTTTCAACCAAAGAATGGGAAAATGAGACTTCACAATAGGTTGCTGCAGAACGTATGACAAATTTTAAAGTGCAAATTTATAACCTATAACGGTTTGAAAGTTATAACCTATAACGTCTCTTTTTAATAACCCACGAAACCATCCACTATAACTTAGAACATACTCAGGAAACTACCACAACAGAACCACACTGTTAGAGTAATCTACAAAACGCACCAAGAAATGCAGCATTTGTGATCGGCATTGACCCGATCGAAATTCGTTCACCGTGACCATGGATCCCAAAACGCTACAAATATTAAAATACTTTTTATTTTTGCTTTCCACGTTCAGTCTTTCACATCTACTGTGCGGATCTCAGTACTTCTCGCATTCGTTTCGTTCTCTCGCACTCATAGTTCACAATGCTCCTCGAACATTTCGCGTGTTGTTTCAGCTGCTGCATGAGGATTTCATCTTCTTCATGAACACCGTAGAACGCTGGCTGTATCAGTCTCCTTGCAGCCTGAGAGATTGCCACGCTAAGGCGTTCCCACGTAGATCGGAGGAGATCGTTTGGACTGATCGAACTAGTGCCGTTCGTTCCTGATCGACAGCATCACTAACCACTGCGGCATCCCCCAATATTAGAATAATTGTCCTACAAAGCTCTATCACATTCAGGATGCTCACTGCATGTTTCACCAACGCTAAATCACTTTTCCAACCAAGCATCTCGACGACTAGCTGTTGAGAAAATCTCCAACAACCACACATTGTCTCCAGAATCCTGGAGTTTTACCGCTACGGAATAAGTAAGTCTCTATTCAGTTGGCAGAAAATGTGTGATTCCTATGGATCTCCGTTCTGCTTAGCAGATTGAAAATATTTTAACAAAGCTACTGCTTAACCACAAACGGTTCTCAATGTTGAAAGATATTTCCGAGAAAGAAAATGGGCGGGACCGTTCGTTCTTGATTAGCATTGGAGCAACATTTTCTCATCGCTATCATCGATCGGACGCTTCACGTATCCGGCGGGAGCTTCGTTGACTTTTTATTCATAAGCTTTTCCGAGGAAGTTCTCTTTTTTTTGAGGAGTTTTGCGTAATGCGACTTTAAGACTACCGCTGTTTATAATTAAATCCTTCTTAGATTTCCTGTGCAAAAGTTTTGGCAGAGAGCGATGTGGTACGAATAGTCTTTGAAATGAGGGTTATTGTCATCTTTTCCATGCCTAATATCGTTATGTGGAGGTTTTTTTAACGTTTCTAAGTTTCTTAGAGCTTGATTTTTAAAGCACACTGTTCTAGCTGTTTCTTCATTAAGCATCGTTGGAGGTGACTTAATGCATATCTGGTCTTTACAATGACTCGCGGTGGCCTACCGATGCATCATGCCAGTGCTACTATCCTCCCAGACAAGTATGGTACCAATTTTTCGATCTCGCAGGGGTGGAGCACAGCCTGTGGCGCGGCGATCGATCCCATGTGTATTGTAGGGCACTTCTGACTACTGCGCTACAAACGCTCCCTCACTGAGTTGTTACTGCCATTGAGATCAAGGCTGTTCCTTACTATATGGAGATGTATTGTTATTAAATTTCGTATATAATTTCTTTTCAAGAATCTTATGTATACGTTAACCTTTTCAGTGTACTTCTAGTATGTGATATGGCCGGCTGCTCAACAAAGATCCTACCCTATGTTGCCGTACTACAACCGGCGGCTGCTGAAGTTCTTCAAGCTGGCGTTGGTGTTGGCGTGCGCCGTCTTTTTCCTACTCATTTGTCGACCTCTACTCAGGCCTGATATTGCAGTGCGTCGCTATCCTCCACAAAAGCTACCCTTTTATAAATGTCCTTGTAACACTTCAGTCACTCAGACAACCCAGCCGTCATTCGTTTTTCGAAATCTAACCGAACATCGTGCATTAATACTACTGGAAAGTACTTCTTCACGTCATGGTCGTCTGCTTCAGCAGATTCTCAGCGCTTCAAGGTACCCGTTTCGAACGGAAACCTTTACGAAGAACTTACCTTCACTTACAACAACGACTTTGCGCGGTCGTTATGCCGTTATTATTATTGAGAACCACTACAAATATCTCAATTTGGCGAAGTGGAGTCGACAGCTGTTGGATAAGTACTGCGTTGACTATAAAGTACCCCTCATATCGTTCCTGTTTACAAGACCTAATATCACTTATAAAAAAGTGAAAATCAAAGATTCCCTGTTGTACTTCTGGCAGAACCAAGAGGTTTCGTCCTTGAAAGTGGCTGACTCCACTATCCATCGGATCTCTCGCATCGGAGCTGAGAGGACAAATATCAACACGCAAGACTGGGTTCTATTCGAAGAATCGCCAGCGTATACCACTGTAAGTAATTTTTAGTGTTTGTTTTGAAATATCGCTAGGATATTGAGTTCGGTAGGTAGAAAACTAGCTGAGGGAAAGGCGAAACGAAGGACACGCATGGTGTGGTGGTGAACGCGTTAGCCTCCGAAAAAGGTAATAACGCGTTCGCTCTCCACCGCTGAGACACCTGCCATCCGGAGTTTTGCAAATATCTCAACACCGTTGTGGTTGTATGTCGCATAATACCGTGCCATAAAAAATTGCACTAGGAATAAATACAAAAGTTAACATTGTAAATCGCCACGCTTCATAAGTTTTTCCGCTAACGCTAATGTCGATGACGTGATTCTAAGGTTTTGTCGGCAAGAGACGTTCTTGGTCGACCTCGTGCTGCGGTTCTTCATGATAAAGGTGAAGTGGATAATGTGGAACGAGTTCTTTTTGGCTACAATGTGACTGATTGGATGGTAAAGGTTTGTTTTCTTTCGGGATTACTGTGAGAAGTGAACCCTTCGCAGTTACTTTCATTACCTAAGTTACATCTTCTGTGGTTCGTAATGAAAGCAATGGCACCTAACGGTCTTATATGGATTCTTTAAATCTTTAATTTTTGTGGTTTAGTGAGCAAATAGTGTTATACCTTGGTACTCATCGTCTTCTTTTATCTTTGTGTTTTTGTAAATGAGAAGTATCGAACTATATAATGGTATTCCACCGATAGGGGTAACTGCTAAGTCGAAACCCAAGTGAGCTTTTTCTAGCTCATATCTTAGCATCCCTCTGGTTATAGATAAAATTATGACGTTTTAGAAGCTTTAAGAGTATCTAAAGCATGTTTTGCATATAGCTGCTTTTTCCGATCAAAAGAGTGGGAGAATTCAGCACTGGACCAGTTATTATCTCAGTTCGTAAGTATTCGTTTGCATACAGCATCAAACAGTTGTGAATTTTTGCCTCTTTTAGAATATATAGTTTGGCAAGTTCTACTTCTAGTTAGTTATGTGTCCAGTTTAAAATCCTATAGGCACTCTTATCGTTTAAGTTTCCAGATGACATTTCTTGATGTGCTGTGGTACACAACGGGTGGTCGTATCGGGTGGAGTTTGGATCGTTATGTTCAAATTGATATCGACGATATATTTGTTGGTGCTCGGGGTACACGAATGGTTGAAGATGATGTAACGTTAGTATGGTTTTGGTAATTCATCTAACTTAGTTTTAATATAAACCTCCCAACGGTTTGCCTCCTCATCGTGAGTGAGAGGTGTTCCTGGGTGTCGGGCTGCGATGTACAGCGGGAAGGTTCATCCCACCAACAGAACCTCCCAAGTTGAGAAGTAGTCCAGCGTTTCCATCAGGAAGCCAGGCTAAGAGTAAACCAATGCCAGGATTAACCATCGTCCTGGTATCAAATTAGTCGCATGGTGGCAAATCTCCCTCTTATCCGTAAAGATGGCGACTGCTTGGTAGTTGTGGTGACGTCTTGGGCAGACTTTGGCCTGGCTGACCTCGGGACTACAGAAAACCACATTGGCTAGGCCAGTAAAACTCCGAGACAATGGAAATTAAGCTGGGATCCGCACATCTAGTGAGGAAGGGCCTATCCATGCTTTAATATTATAGTTTAAGTAGTGAAATTAGTGCTTTTCTTTTCTGTTCAAACCGTATATTCCTATTTTCTACTCTACAGAGCATTACTTGCAAGCCAGAAACACCTTCGTCAATACATATCCAACTTCACTTACATGCTTGGCTTCTCCGGCAGCTATTTCCACAATGGAGATGATAATGAGGACCGTGGCGATGAGCGTCTAGTTGGTGAGCTCATCTTCTTAATCTCTCAGTCAATTTTTATCTCTTAGTTTTCTGCTCGTAACTTTTCTTTAGAACTGGCGCAGCATTTCATTTGGTTTCCCCATATGTGGCGTCACAACCATGCCCACGAACATAACCTTACTTATTTGGAGGCGACTATGGTTCAGAATTTTATGTTTGCCGAGGTGGAATAGTTTACTCTTTCGTTTCAAAGGAGCGAATCTTTGTCCAGATTTCTTGTCCAGTCCAGACACTACTTCACGATTTCTTTCTAACAGAATATGCGACTTCCTGTGAAGTATCCATACGCGATTGCTCCACAACACGATGGTGTATATCCTATTCATACTGACCTTTATAATGCTTGGAGAAAGGTACTTACCTTTGTCAGTATCTGATGTTTTGCATTACTTTTTGTTGATTTCTGTCGGTTTTCTCTTATTCCATTTCAAATCAGGTTTGGAAAGTGGAAATCACCGCCACTGAAGAATATCCGCATTTTAAACCAGCGTCTAGCAGACGAGGATTTGTACATATGAATGTTTCGGTAGGAGCATATACATTTTTACACTATTTATGAGCGGACTGTTGGACTTTGTTTGTGGGAAACAAACACATATGAACTAAAGTGAAAAAAGGGACTATTTGCTATGATCTAACTAATACGAGGTTGTCTATAAAGTTTTATTCGGCTAGGGTTCCGGCTCCTTCGCCCTATTCAGAGCCACATTGATCCGATTTGGTTGTACTCATCCGATCGTTCTCGCAATCCTGTACTTCTTGATTGCATCGAGTTAATTCCAATGGGATGTAGCACTGTCCAAAGGAAGTGTCCTCACTAGCCACACCTTTTCAAACACGATTGTTTTTAACCTGTTCCTAGCCGACATGACCCGCATTTTCGCCAGCATTGCATACTGCAGCCACGGTTTCATTATTCGCTGGCACGGAGTGCTACGATTCTACTTGATTCGCCTCGATCAGACACCGGCCAGCTGTGGACAATCGACTCGAATCAGTGCAGCTCTGAAGAAGAGTTAACCACGTAAAACTGTTTGTAACAGCTTCATATAGCTGAATCATATAAGAAAACATTGATTTCTCATGCTGACGGTAGAGCATATCCCGTTCTTGAAGTGCTGACGAAGAAACTAATGGCAAGAGAATTTTATGAGAACAATTCTTCCTACTTCTGTTCAGCAAACACGAGTGCTATTTTATTTCTTTGTTTACGCACAAGCTGACGTTTCGGCGGATTTCGCCTTCCTCAGAGCCTGGAAAGGTCAAGTTGACAGCAAACTATCCGGCCAAACACCTCCGTAATCAAACAGAGAAAACGCTAAACCAGGATTTCAATCACATTTAACATAGCCCTGCACCCTCACCGCTTTCTATGAGTCTTCCAATGAATATGTCGTGTGAAGACCGACCGCACAGAATTCACATGGAAGCATAATGTGCCCTCCCATGAGAATAACAGGTTTATATACTGTCCAATATCACGCGTGATAGTGAGGCATTCCTCCTTGGGGTTCATTTTCGGATTCTTGGAATTAATCCGGAATGCCTCTAGAGTTTTGCGCGCTTGTGTTCTCGATTCTTGCGCGAGGATAGTAACCCTTACTCCAAAATCTTCTCCGTTATGTCTCTGCGTCCACTGCGTGTCTAGTGGAGTATTTGGTTTACGTTTGCGACTAGGTGTTCTTTCAAACGTACGCAGAGTGGTCTACCCGTTTCGTCAATGTAGAAAGAATTATTCAATCGATGCCGAGGTTAATAGAAAGTCGGACTTGGGAGTTTCTATGAGAACATTTAGCAAAATTCGGTTTAAAAATATTCTTCAGATTCGATTGGTTGTTACAGGTGCTTCCACGACAGACATGCGGCCTCTATACGCACACACAATTTTTCCACAACTACCCTGGTGGTTTTTCTAAGCTGACAAGCCTGATTTATGGTGGTGAACTATTCTTCACCATACTGTTGAATCCTGTAGGTAATTTATTCATTTTACATTTATTCATCTGTAACAGCAAATCCAGTAATTTCGGAATCTTGTGAACTTTCAGATATCTATTTTCATGACCCATCAACAGAATTTTGCACATGATCGATTAGCATCGTACACATTCGATAATCTGGTGAGATTTATACGTTGCTGGACAAATATTAGACTGCGATGGCAAAGTCCAGTTGAGTCGTCTCAGATGTATTTCTCGTTAATGCCACAGGAAAAAGATCCTATCTGGAGCGTGAGTATCCTTTAATTGTACTTCAGGATTTGTTTAAATATGTTTGTAAGTTGATAAAAACAATGAGGCATTATAGGCGGTAGCGACAGAATGCACTACACCATCCATGGTTTCAAGCTTGGATAATCAAGTTTGAGCCTGAGGCTACCATGGATGGTGTAGTGCATTCTTTCGCTATCGCATACAATGCCTCAATGTCTTTATTAGTTGAAAGATGTAGAGACCGTTACTATGTGTGCAAGTGTTGTTCGCTGGATAGCATGACTTTTGGTAAAGATCGACTTTGTTAGTTACAGACGTAAGCCAACGTGATACCATTGAGATATTCGAACTGACTCTTTTTTCCAACAGTAAAAAGAAGCAGTGCGAGTTTACCGTAGAATGTACCACTTAGCAAATGGCAAATCTATTTCTTTACATGCATGAATATTTTGCAGAATCCATGCGAGGATCCGCGACATAAAATAATCTTGCCGCCTTCTCTAAACTGTTCAACTCTTATATTTCCTAACACATTAATTGTTGGACCACAAAAAACAGGTTTGGTTTATATTGCCTTGATGACTGTTTTATACTTAGCAAATGTTTCATAGTAAATCTTATCTCTATCTAATACTTGAAGCGGCGTTCGTTTGAAGAAATCTTCCACTGTAATGCACGTTACTCTAAAGCGTTTTTGAGTTGTGAGATGGATAAGGTCGGATAACCTCGCTATTACTGCAAGATGCACATTTGGTAAAAGTGTACCCGAAAGTAAGGGCGTGTGGTGCAGTGGTCGGAGGCGCGCTGCAACACACACGGATCGATCTCAGGGCTCATGACCCACCGGGCCCTCCATCACTCCGGGGTCGGGAAATTGGCGCCAGACTTGTCTGAGAGGATAGCAACACTGGCTCGATACATCAGTAGGCCACCGCTAGTCATTGTACAGGCTAGACAAGCATTCAGTCACCTCCAGCGATGGTTAATGAAGTCGAATGTATGGCGTATCCCTCAGGGATTGACCAACCTTTATACCTGAAAGTGACTAAATAATTGTTCACTAATCTTAATTGTTGGGTGGCAATATGATGGATTACGCTCCGTTTGTAACCGTTTTGAGATATAAGGACACTGGAATGGTGCTTCATATTTCTTTGGAATCGGTGCTGAGCAACTGTTTTTTTTTGCTTCGCGGGTCAACTTTACTATCACAGTACGGAGGGAGATAACGCAGTGGTTAGCAATGCAACCTATCAGAGACTAAGGTCTTGATTCGACTCCATACCTAACGCTTACCCTCAATCTACGTGGAAATGTGCTAACTCGGCTATCTCCGAGATTGCAAGGAGAATCGACTTGGGCATCATTCAGTGAAATTCATGAAGAGGACGAAATTTTAAACAGCAGCCGGAACAAACGATGATTGCTAGGAAACGAATCAAATGCAAGAGGTGCTGGGATCTGCGCAGTGCATCTGATGACGGATCTTATGAAATAAATAAAAGCAGTATGGAGTAAAATAAATGAAATATGAATACCACATCGGGACATGAAAAATTGATTTGCGTTGTTATCATTTGTACATTGCTTTCCTTGATAGGTACATCTGCTTTGGCAATGTTTTTGTCGTTACATCCTAATGTTTCCACTAATGCGCCTATTCCTGGGTCATTTGAGGAACTACAATTCTTTGGTGGTTCAAACTATCATAAAGGAATAGAGTGGTAAGTGTTGAACTTCGACACTTCCAATTTCTTCAGTTTAGTTGCTCTCTTTAATTCGTTATAGATTATAAGAGTGGTTGTTTGGTTGAGGGACCATGTGACTTGTTATTTCATGTCTCTGTCTGTAAGTTGTTTTACGTAGGTACTCGCGACAGTTTACTAACGCACATACAGTGCTCGAAAAGAGTGCCACATATTTCGACAATGTCAATGCGCCAATGGAGGCCCATGCGTTGGTTCCAGAAGCTAAGATTGTCGTTCTACTTTACGATCCAGCTAGGAGAGCCTATTCATGGTATCAAGTGGGTCTTTTGTGATCGGAGCTTTGTGTTGACACATGTAAAAGTCTAAGTCAAAAATTATCTTTAGCATATGTTAGCTCACAATGAAACCTCAGTTGTTATGGCTGGAAACATGGAAACGGTTTTAGATGCGGAAACGCCCCAATTGAAAAAGATTAGACAACGCTGCATATCAGGAGGGCGGTATGTGAAGTTAGCAGTTTTGCGAAACGAAGAACTCGCGTGGTGTTGTGGTGAACAAGTTAGCCCCCAGAAAGGGTAATGGCGCGTTCGCTCCACACCGCAGACACCAGCAGTCAGGAGTTTTGCAAACATCTCAGTATCATTGTGGTTATATTTTGTTTATTTCGTATGACCTGATTCGGTTCTACTTATAGGTACACCCATCACTTTGATCGGTGGTTGGAATTATATCCCATGTCAAATCTGATTCTCATTGATGGGGAAAAGTTTCGTGAAGATCCAGTCACTGTTAGTTTTGTACCGTCCTTTCTTTCACATTGTGTTGAATGAAGTTCGTACATATTCCATTTTGTCATGCCTTCCTAGTTGTTTTTTAAATAAGCGGTTCATGACGTTAGCTAATAGCGGGATACTTTCTGTTTTTCAAATTTCCAGTGGTCGTTGTGAATGCAAAAGTTAAGTCTCAGGTGTTTCAACAGATCTATGTAATAGATCTTCAGGTTTTGACAGAGTTAGCTCAGAAACTTGGCCTTCCTTACTTCGATTTCGCACACGCTATTCGTTTCAGCCCATCAAAAGGATTCTTTTGTCAAGTTCGTGTTGTTTCAGTTTTCATCAACATCATCCTATCTTCATTGGTATATTTTTCATCCAGGTACATAATGGAAAGCCAAAATGTCTCGGTCGTGGTAAAGGGCGAGCTTATCCACCAATGTCTCCTACCTTATGGTCTCGACTAAATGGCATCTTCGCTGCAGACAACATTGCTCTGCATAACTTTCTTATCAGAAATCATTTACCGGTTCCAGTATGGCTGCATTTATTATTGGAAAAGTAGTTTGTAGTTCTTGAAACTAGCAGGTTAATGTTTGCACTTTGAAAAGTGTTTGAATTCTGATGAAGTGTTTAGAAATTTGGGGCCCTTCCCTTTAAGCATAATCTTATTTGCATGTTGTTCTCTGCTAGCATCGACATAGTAAGGTATATTCTTGTCTTTCTCGTTTAAATTTTATTTGATGGAAAGGATATTTACGCTACAGTTGACTTTAAACTAGTACTTACTTGGAATACTTGAACGGCCCGTCCTCACTATTTGTGCGGGTCCCAGCACACTCTCAATTCTTTGGAGTTTTTTTGGTCTAGCTGTTGTGATTCCTTGGAGTACCGCGGTCAGCCTAGCAAAAGTCTGCCCCAAATCGTCACCGCCATAGACAGTCGCAGCCTTTGTGGATCAGAGTAGGATTAGCCACCGTGCGACTAGTTTGATATAAGGACGGTGGTGGATTCTGGTATTGGTTTAATCTTAGCTGGGCTTCTTAGTGAAAGCACCAGACTACTTCTCAGCTTTGGAGGACGAATCCCTTCTCCGCATGTCGCAGTCCGACACCCAGGAACATCTCCTAACCACGATGAGGCGGTAAGCCGTTGGGATGGAAGTTACAAGCTTATGATTAGAGATTAGCTGATACCTTCACAGTGATTCTGTTGTTTTAGGTAGCCGGTGTTTATGCGTCTGGTTTAATTGGGTTTGTGAATTTTTTTAAGATCAGCTGTTAAATCGTCTGTATTTTTTAGATTAGTTTTTTTATGGTAAGAAGAGCAGAGCGAGACAGAGTTAGGTTCACTCCTACTACATAATCTCTGCTTTTGCTTAGCAAAATAATGTAGAAAATTCATTTCTAAGATGAGACTAAAAGTGGTGATTTTAGTTAGATTGTAACAGCAACGCTAAGTTGTCTTAATCTTTAAGTTTTTACTTGAATGACTGTTTAACGTTTTTCTCGGCTTTAGAGCAACTTTTTGTAAAGTGCCAAAGTAACTGTTTCATAGGTTCTCTCGCATGTAACGGTCTGTCAAGCTGTGATTACTCATGTAAATGAACTGTAAACTTTAGTTTACTTTCGTATTTTTCTCATTGGAGGCTGTTATTGTCAATGAAGCTTTCATCTAGTTATACGACGTAATTTTGAAGGATATTCCTGTCATACATTTGTACTAATGTTCATCGCTTGCTTATGGAGGACTTTCATCTCTTCTTCAGGTGTCTTTGATTCATTTTAGAAAACGAAATGCCGAAGTATTATTGTGATTACTGCGATACGTTCCTCACTCATGACTCGCCGTCTGTACGGAAGACGCACAATGGTGGACGAAAGCACAAGGAAAATGTACGGATGTTCTATCAGGTAGTTCATCTTCTCATTTTCGATAACAATATGATATCTTTTGTTTGTTGCCTACTATAGTTTTCACGGAAGTGTGTGATGTGAGATACAACCACAATGATGCTGAGATATTCACAAAACTTGGACCCCGGGTCAGATCGAGCCACGATTAGTCTTTCCGGGGCTCGTATATTACACAGTGCACCACTGAGGATCTTGCTTTGCGTTTCTCTCGGCTAGTTCTCTACCTAACACTTCCATCAACGATCCAAGTTTTGCAAATATCTCAGCATCATTGCGGTTGTATGCTTTTGTTTCTTAGAACTACCTATTCTATATACAAAGTATTGCTTGTGTGTAAGGGTAGAGGTATACCATCAGTTAGCTCTTGAAGGTTTGAATAAGTGGGTTACGAATTCAAGGTGTCTATGTCTATGTCGTTTTGGTTTGTTCAGTCTACACGAAGTTCTTATAAAGTTTTCTTAAAGGAAGCAAAAGCAGTGAAACGTAAAATGTAAAAAATGTATGTAAAAAATTTCGAAGTGAAAATCACTTTACAAAACTTCTGTATCAAGATGTCTATGTTTTGTCCTTTTGATGTGCTAGTTTAACATCTTCAAGTATCTTTACTCAGACTTTGTTAACATTTTGATAGAAGTCTGGATGATCGTGTTCATCAAGTTCACGTTTATCTAAAGACTAGCGTTTTTGCTCTCAATTTTTCTTGTTTTATTCATCGGTTTTCTTACGCGCTAATATTTGTATTGTTAAGCATTGACTGTTTCAATGAGAAAAACAAACTCTTTGTGGAGAAAAGAACGAAATAATTTCAGCTACAATGAAACTGAAGCGTTATCAAAACTCCCGACCGCAGTTGTCTGTAGCGAGGTTGAGCCCTGTTATTACCCTTTTCGGAGAAATAATTTCGTATCTTTGGTGTGACAGTGTGTTTAAATGTGGTAAATCTATTGTTATTTTAAAATTAGTTTCAAGTAGAGTTGGGGAGTGTCATCTAGGGGGAAGCAGATTTCAGCTTTCGCTTTAATAATAATCCAGGTATGTCTAAAGCATGAGCAAAGACGTATTCTTGTGTGCCTTGGTTTTTCATTCTCTTTCATTTCTCGTTTATTCACGTAAGCTCATCACTGTCCTGTCTTTTCACTTGTAATTGAAGCATTCCGTTTAAATTAGCTACACTTTTCTATGTCAAGTTTGGCAGGTTTTTTCTGTATTTGTGAAGTTTCTCTAATTTTTGAGAAATTTTCTAGCGTTGGATGGAAGAACAAGCACAGAAGCTCGTAGATGCGACAGCTCGTGCATTCACTGGCGGTGGAGCGACGAAACCAATGGGTAAACCGGCGATGGGAACACCCATGGGTGCGCCTATGATGCCAGCGATGATGGGTCGTCCACCTGTGATGGGTGCTGCAGTGGCCGGTATGCGGGCCCCGATGCCACCGTTTGGATTTCCTGGAACGGTAAGTTGTTAGGGAGTTTTTTTTTCGAAGAGGACGTTTTGTTCCAGAAATCCATTTTATGACCGATTGTGGATTTTCCTTATTTTTCTCGACGCCATTCTGTTGTCATTTTCAGATGCCTCCGTTTGGTGTTCCAATGGGAATGCCTCCAATGCGTGGACCCCCGGCACCTTTTCGTGGTGCACCACCACATTGAGTAACTTCTCATATTATTGTGTTTGTATTGCTTATTATCACAGTGTTACCAAGATACTATTGTTTCAGTTGTATTACTTTATTTTGTGCTTGTAGTTAATCTATCATTCGTTCCCTCCAATAGCCTGTCGATATTTATGTAAATGGTGCGTTCTTTCTACGAATAAATTTTTCGTTTGGTGTCGATTAGATTGTGAACATAGGGGGTTGTAATGCCTTTACGTGAAGTATAGTTGGAAAGAACAGCTGCTTGTCCATTATGACTTTTTGGTCCTATTTATTCCTTTGGAGAATGGAGGACGACGAACGGACAAGGGTTCGTCGAGAGGTCTCATCATCTTTTCGAATAAATGCATTTGAAGCGAAGAAGTTAGTGCGTTTTCCATCATGAAACTATGTTTGTTTTTCTCACCTTCAATTCTAGGGAGGTTGTAGACATGTGTGTTGAGGCTATTTGTAAGTTCGACAAAGAAAAACGAAAGAAGTGGATGACAAGGATTATAGACACTATCAGGAAGCAGTCATGCGAGTTTTATTTTTGTTCTTATTATTTAATTTATGGTATCTTGTATCGTTGGTTTTGTGGATCGTGGGCCGAGCATGGATGAAGATAAAGGATCAAGCTCTCGGCATTGATCAGCTCTTGAGGAATGCACTATGCATTCGACTTCAATGAGCGCTACATGGGACATTACGTAACGTATTATCTGTCATCAAATCAATGTTGTTTCGTTTACTATTGCAATTGTATGTACTGATCGACTTCTGGAACTAGTAAGGCTTTACGTCATGTGGATTGCAGTACCCACTTCTGTGGTCACTCAAGATGTCATACGTGACGTTTTTGCGCAGATTTCCAATCGAGCGACAGAACCAAGGTTTTCGTAGATTCTTTTTCCGTTTATTTAAGAGTTTAGTCAATTCTGTTTGAATTCCTTCTGATTTTCAATCTTAGCACATCGTTGTTCAACGTATTCGATGCGTTTTCGTTACCTCGCTTCGTATTTGACGCTAATTGTGGAAAAATGCTACTGGTTAATGAAATTCCGAAAGTGATATCATCGGTCGATAGAGCCACTGAAGCGAGAAGACATCGATTTCAGCTTGTTGCTCAGGTGAAATTTCAATAATTTGGCTTTACCAATTGGATGGTTGTGTTCATTCATACTTTTACTGTGGTGTTCATATTTTAGAGGATCTCGCGATGTAAGCAGTTACAAAGCATTAAGTTCACTACGGTTGAATCTCTTCTCGGGAGTGCTCATCGGCAGAATGATGTCGTCGTAGTTGGCATGCTATCTCAACAAAAGGTGCTAATCCATTAACTGTGTACTTATTGCTTTGACATGTTTGACGATTCTTTCCATCTTAAGATTGCTAATAAATCAACTTCACATTTGGCTTTTCTCTCCAGCAACTCAAAAATATTGATCGGGAAGCTTTCCATGGAATTGGTTTCAGAAGCGTAGTTTGTTGATAAGATTTTTATATGAAGTTGCTCAGAGCCACTGCTATCACATTGAAGACCTGACTGGTTCAGTTCAAGTGGGATTTAACGAGGAAACTCGATTTCAGCATGGGATGTTTACTTTGGGCAGTGTGGCTATTTTCCAGGTACATTTTTTCCGTATCTTTTAAGTTTTATCCCTTCATTGTGACTCATGTGAAAAAATAGTTCTTGTGGTGGAATAGGCTTTGTCTTTTTAAAAGACTATGTTTATTTACACATATTTTAGCGTCATTTAAAACGTTGAAATACAGAATAGCTTAGAATTTTTGTGGCCTTCTTGGTTTCGTTGTGTGAATTTTAATCCTTTTCTTCTGCATTTGAAGTGGCTCATAGTTCTTAAAACAGCTGCTTAATTCGGTGCTGAGGTATTCCAGAAGAGGAGGAACTTTCACGAAGTCCATGTTTTTCATACTATTGATCGAAAGGGGAACTACTGCAACTCATAAAACCGTTCTGGTTTCTATGTATAAGATTTGGGGGAAATTTCAAAACCAGCATCTAATCTTACTAACACCCTCACGACGAGTGACGCCTATAGATGGTTTTGCAAGCGTGGTCTGTAAGACACCTCTGCGTATCCTTTTTCCCAATGGTTAATTTTAACATTGTGTAATATTTTAATGGTAATATTCTTGATAATGTTGGTATTTAATTGTTATTTAATGCCTTAGAACTGTTTTTCTAAGCTTTTTGTTATCAGTTGATAGCTCGGAGAACACAAATATCGTGTTAGGCGTTGGTCGGGAAAAGCCTTGTTTCATGCTTTAAAATATACAAAAGCAGTTTTCTGAGTGATTTCGCTAACCTGAGGTTTGGGTGCTAATCGACTACTGTTTAAATTCTAATTGCTATGTTGACTTTTTTATTTACTGCCTGTTACAATTTTCACGGCAGGACCTAATTGCTATAGCGAATGATAGTTGTCATATAGAGTGTTCGGGTGTGAAAAATACTAAGATAGAGACCCATAAATTGCAGAACACTTCCAAATGCTGAGAGTAATGTGATTGCATGATGGACCATGGTGACATATAGTAAATAACATCATAAATATCCATACCTGTAGGACGATAGAGCAAAGTATTATCTACAATTAGCTCATGTCTTCAAGCCATGAAGTCCTCTAATTACTGAGAAATTATTCGTTATTTTCAAAAAACCATCAAGTTCATAAAGGCTGGAAACTAGGCATAGTTCTCTCTGCGAGAAAATCGAGGTTAGGCGTCATTACGAGAGCGCTAAGATGAAGTTCCCAATCAAGCATTCCTTGGGAAAGAGAAGAACCCAGTTTTGATCCTTTTGAAGGGATAGAGGCCCACCCTTGAAGCGAGAACTACTGCATATCCGAAATAGGACTTTCCGAAACAAATCCTTGCGGGTTCATTAGGAGTACGGGTCCAAATCTTTGGGTCATTTGCGTTTAAGGATTCCTGGATCAGAAACTAAATGGAAAAATCAGAAACTTGCACCGTCTGCTCCATAAATTCAAACAATCCTGGTTCCACTTTGACAGCAACTACCTTGCAGCGTGTAATCCCTAAGTCAAGGCAGCAGACCTATGTAAAAGAAATGTTCAAAGAAGTGGGAGGCTTATCGAAGAAATGTAAATCTTGATTTCTGTTCTACTATCGAGTTATGGCGTCATAAAGCTTGAACATATATGTGAACGAAAAAAAAAGAGTTTTACAGCAACTATACTTTTAAACCACTTATTGAATTATTTTGTTAACTTTTTTATTTACTGCTTATTACAATTTTCACGATAGGGTATTATGCAAAATCAACCACAATGATGCTAAGATATTTGCAAAACGCCGGACGGCAGGTGTCAGCAGTGGGGATCGAACACACTATCATCCTTTCTGGGTGAACGCGATCACCATCACACTATGCGCTTTCCCTCGTTTAGCCTTTCTCTCAGCTAACTTTCTCTCTTTACCTTCTATCTATCTTTCTGTCTTTTCCGTTCTTCTATCTCCTCTTTATACTTTGTTATATTTTTTGGCATGTTAAACCATAACAGGGCTCTTACGACTCAACACTGCTTACTGTTCGTGAAGTGGCGTTTGTACCACTGGAGTCAGCGGAGGAAACACGTGTAGTGTTTGGAAATGTGAATTGGTTCGGGGGTGATGATCCCGTAAGTTTTCACTCTGCAGCAGTTTTTCTTATTGCTTTTGTTTTTATCACTATTTATAGGTAGCATTTCGTTGCAATGCTAAATTATGTGTTGCTGAGCGAAGCAATCCGAACGTTCAAATCGTAATTTTATCGGATGTTCATTTAGACAATTCCAGAGTAAGCGTTGCAGTTTTTTTCCTTTGGTTACCGTATAACCTTAGTTTGTTTTAGTTTATTTTTCCAATTGTAACGATTAACGTACATTTATTTATATGTTCTTGTGAACTGATCTTGTTGAGCCGATGCGAGGTTCCACTCGTAACAACAAGGTTCTGAGCAAGACGAAATCGCCCAAACCTTAGTCATCGACCAATAACACAACGACAACGGAATATTGTACCAACCTCACATCGGCTCAGCAGGATCAGTTCATAAGAACACAAATAAACGTATCAACTATGCCAAAGTTTCTATAAAGTCGGTCTTTTGAGTGATTAACATACAGATTTTTGATCATCTTATAGTAATATACGTTATTATGCAGGTAATGCAAGCTCTTTACCACATGCTTTCCGGGTTTTCGGCAGATCCGCCACTAGCTTTCATACTTTGTGGAAACTTTTGCTCAAGACCAAGACAGCGAGATACTATGGAGTTACTTCATGCAGGTTTTCGAAGGTATGTTTGATTTGGTTTTCCATTTCATATATGGAACATTGTCCTTGTCCTAAAGGGGACTATATTGCCAATAGGATTTATCTTTCACTTCAGTTACTTCCTTTTTTGAAAACTTCATGAAAAGTGTTTCTCTTAAAAATGGTCTTCGAACATAGTTTATATGTGTTTTTAAATTAAGCACCTAAATTCAGACTTGCCAACCAGCTAAACGACTTTGCTTCTTCTTTTGCATCAACGCATTTTGTGTTTGTTCCTGGTCCAGATGATCCTTGTTTGAATTTGGTGTGTTTTTACCATTTTCGGCACGTATAATTTATCATGAATTGCTTTCAACTCGTACGTCTGATAGATCTTGTTGGCCAATGTTGATTGGTCTTTACTTATACATAGTCGACAATGTATGCCTCCCAACGGCTTACCGCCTCATCGTGGCTGTGAGGTGTTCCAGGGTGTCGGACTGCGATCTACAACGGGGGGGGGGGGGGGGGGGGGGGNGGGGGGGGGGGGGGGGGGGGGGGGGGGGGGGGGGGGGGGGGGGGGGGGTTGTCCCCTAGGAGGGTCACCCAAGCTGAGAACGAGTTCGGCGTTTCCATCAGGAAGGCTAGCTAAAAGTAAACCAGTACCAGGATCTACCACCGTCCTGCTATCAAAGTTGCATGACGGCAAATCTCCCTCTGATCCACAAGGGTTGCGAGTGCCTGTCGTGGTGACGAACTGGAGCAGACCTTAGTTAGGCTGACCTCGGGACTCCACCACAATGGCTTAACCAGCAAACCTCCGAAAAATGGTGACTATGCTGGAGTCCGCAGTTCAAGTATCTAGTGTCAAGTAAGTGGGAAATGTGTAAGCTAGTCAACTTTAAATAAATATACCTGAGCTGTCGGTCTTAAATCTTACTTATGATGGGAAATCTACTAGAATCTACTGATATTTGCCGACAAGGTACAATCTTTCTATTCTGTTGCGATGAAATTTCATTTTTGAAAACCGTAAATTTTTTCTGACTTCTTGTCTATCGCCGTTTCGGATGCATCTTCGTCCACAAATGTATAGTCGATGTTTGAAGCTACAGTTTTTGCTTTAAAAATCTTAAGTAATACAGCTTCTATGTCATTTTTTTTTGTGGACTTGATTTTTTCTTTTCCAAACTTAAGTTAAGGTTAAACCTGTTTGAAGACGTAGGAAATAAATGCTCGGGTCGTATGTGGTGAGATTTTAAGTGTCGTAAATGAATTCACTGTGATTTTAATGGTTTCAGGTTTTACCGCGACCTCATTTACCAGGAGTACTGTTTAGTTATTTCGAACAAATTCCAAATTGCATATTTGCAACAAATCCTGTTCGTGTGCAGTATGCTTGTCAGGAGATAGTGGTTTTTCGTAACGATCTCGTTGAGAAGATGTGCAGGTTTGCTTCCTTTATAGTGATTGTTTTCGTTGAAAAGGCAGTAGCTCTAGTGCTGCTGTCGCATTGATTATTGCTAACTGTTTTTATTTCTATTATTGTTATTGAAAACGGCGCGTGTGGCGCAGTGGTCGGAGGCCCCTACAATACACATATAGGTGATCGTTTCCCGGGCCAGTGACTCACCAAGCCTTCCATTCCTCCAGGGTAGGCAAATTGGTACCAATTTTGTCTGGGAGGAGAGCAGCACTGACTCGATACATCAGTAGGCCATTGCGAGTCATCGTAAAGGCCGGATATGCATTCAGTCACCTCCAACGATGCTTAATGAAGTCGAGTGCATGGCGCATCCATCAGAGATTGATCAACGCCGAGAGTTTCATCCTTTATTCTTTATTATTATTGTAGTTTGTTATTGTTATTACTACTAATATTACGGGTATTATAGACATGCGGTAAATGCCGTTGCGTCAGAAAATATTACAGAAAGTTTTGTGAAGACGGTTCTGAGCCAGGTATATTTTCTCATACTCTCGTTCGTCTTTTGCAAATCCCGTTTTTCTTCTAGTTTTAGCTTTATTCCTATTCAGCAAACTATTCTGCTTACATGTTTGGCACTGAAGCCTTAATTCCTAATAGGTTCACCTTTCTCCACTGCCAGCCCACATTGCTCCAGTTCTTTGGGAATTTGATCATGTGATGAGCTTATATCCGCTCCCTGATGTGCTTGTTGTAGCAGATAAATTCCGATCTTTTGCTGAAATACAAGCAGGTTCGTCTTTAAAATCTTTGCTTCCTTAGACCGGCTTTTTAAAAATCTTTTTTTGTCTTCCTATTGTAGCCCCCTGGTAATGTCATAAGATATATCAAATAAGGATCGCATACTTTATTAAATACAAAGTTCGTGATCTTTCCCATATAATCTTTCATCTTTCCCATGCAATAAAAAATCCCAATCTTTCCCATAAATACAATGTTCGTCATCTTTCTTCTTCAACGGAAATGTTTTCTTAAACAGAAACCGTCGTTTGTAATCCTGGATCATTCTCAAATGGCTCATTTGGATTTCACGTTTATTTACCATTTGAGCGAAAAATCGAAGACAGCGCAATCGATTTACCTACTTAGCACTGTTGTCAGAAGTTTTAAGTTATTGAATTCGTCATTTCACGTAGCAGAGTGCAAATTGTCATCCCTATTTATTCACTTTTTTTAAAAAATTTACCATAATTTCATAAGTTCCTAACGTATTTCGTACTGCCTGTTTATTTCCTTGTACTTGTGACGTCATTTTTCTACACAGTAGTCTAAATTTTCAAGTCATTTGTTATTCATAGATAGTGTTATTTATTATTTTGTATTCTATTAGTTGGATTCTTATGTTGCTATAGTTGCATTCTGAATTCCCGGAAAAAATCCTTCTTCGTTAATGTAAGTTTGTATTAAGGCGATTCCACACGGGTAATCATCCGTCATTCAACTTGGTCGTTTTCAAAGAATAAATCTGATCTGACTATAGTGTAAATGAATGTTTTCTACACTAAAATAAAAAAAGATTTTGTACACTTCTCTTGTCCAGAGTTACAGAAAATGTGAGAATGAACCTGGCTGAAAATGCACGGGGTGTGTTGTTTGGGATTAAATACGACAGCATAAGCTTTCCTTGAAACGGTTTACCATTTTATCATGGCTAATGGGAGGTGTTCTTGAGTTTTGGGCTACGATGTACACCTAGAAGATTCACCTACTCACCCCCCACTTGGCACGATCTCTCCAGCTGAGAAGAAGTTCGGTGTTAACACCAGGAAGCCCGGCCGAGAGTAAACCAATACCAGGATCCGTCACCGTCTTGGTACCAAACTAGTCGCGTGGTGGCAAATCTCCCTTTAATCCAAAAGGGCTGCGACTGCCTTTGGTGGTGACGACCTGGGGCAAACTTTGGCTGGGCTGACCTTGGAAACCCACGGAACCACAATGGTTAAACCGGAAAGACTCCAAAAAATTGGAAATTTTGCCAGGGCCTACACAACCAATGAGGACGGGCCATCCAAGTAAGAAGTAAGCGTAGGCTTCAATATTGCAATCATTGTGGATAATTGGATAGTTATGAGGAAAGCAGAGATTTACGATGCGTTGTATTATAAACAGCTAAATAACTGTGGACTGAAACTATTTGAATTACTATGGTGAGTGAAAAGCGAACACTGTAGTAAACAGAGGGAAGAATAACGTAGCTTGGAGATTCCTAGCAATCTGATGTTATCAAAATCGACTTTCTGTTAACCTCGGCATTGGATTATAAATCTGTCGTTCTCCTTTTAAGTAATCGCGAAGTTGTTATTCAGTACACCTTTACTTCGTTACAAATAAAACACATAACACAACGGTAGCTGACGTTTCGGCAGTATCGCCTTCGTCAGAGCCTGGAAGGGTACGCTAATACGTAATTTACTAGGTCAAACGCTTCAACAACGCAAAGAGAAAGATGAAAATCTGAACAATAATTACACGATCACCGTCTTCTTACACACTGTTATTATATTACAGAGTCCTTAATCTGGTTTCTGTAGCTGGAACGCTACTGTGAATTGTTTCGAAGAGAACCGTGTTCTACTAAAACATAACACACGAGGTACATTGAATACTATACATTCGTGAGTGACAAAGTAGCCGAAATGTATTGCATCTAATGCGCTTCCTTTTCAGTAGTGTATTTTATGACACAGGGCTTTTAACCGTAATTTTCGTAGTCATTCGATTGATTGCCGAACACAGGTGTTATTTTAAGTGTATTCCATGAAAAGTTCTCTGTATATGAAGATTTTCAGATTTTTTTTGGACGAGTTCACTGGCTGGCTGTTTAACTAGTAACTGTTGCTTTCATTCTAAGAAAGAAATCGACTAAACAACGCAATCGCGAAACGGTTCTAAATGTAAACAACATTGTGCTTGTATCGTGGATCACAATAACATGTAGTAAATGGCAACCTGCATACCGCATGTGTCGAAGCGAAACAGCGATCAGACGAAGTCCACTCAAGCCTTCTGGTTATCGAGAAATTATCGCCTACTATCGGAAGCTCGTTCATAACCCGCGCGAAACGTCGTCTAAGGTGACGTCACCCCGTCATCTCGGGGCCTTATAAGCTAATTCACAGGTGGTGCGACAAATGTCATATTCATTGCACATAATCTTTTAATGGTCGAACTACTCGAATAGATAAAAATCTCATTTTCTGAGTGCTCTATGCAACAAGTCTCCAGTGGATTCTACTGGCTCAAGGTACAAAAGGAGCATCTCAGTCATTGTATGGGGCCTTTCACTTTTGCTACTATCAGGTACTTCCTACTTAGAGGTGGACTGATCTAGTAGACGAACCCAACCTCCCTACTGCCGCATGTATTTCATATCATATCGAGAATTTCACTGAATTGAGGTACAGGATACAATTAGCATGCGAGCAAACACGTTCGTGCACACATGGGTAGAACAGCCTCTATGCAAGAGGAACAATTCTACAGACCGGAGGCTAAACTATCTGAATTCTCTCTGATCCACTTCTGCTGCTAAGAAAATGAATACCTGATTCGAGCGGTGCTTCTTCTACTGGATTCGATTCGATGCGACTACGAACACCCAAATCGCGACAGTGAGCAGCTGTGGAGCCGACTCGAATCAACGTGGGTCTAAAGAAGGCGAAGGGTGTGAAACGTTAACCAAGTAGAAGTTTATGCCAACCTTGTGTCAACTCAATCATGCAGAATCTTATTGAATACGTGATTGTTTTCTGTTTTCATAACCTTCAGGCTCTGTGTGAAATGTAACACAAATATCCGAAAAATTCAGAACTCCGGACCCGCTTCGAACCCGTGATTGCAGTTTTCGAGGGCTTAAGTGCTGTCCACTGCTCCACCGATACCTTTGATTTGCCTTTCTTTCAGCCATTTCTCTATCCTAACCGTGTCACCAGAAATCACCCGTCGACGGGAATGATCTGGGGAACATAATCGGCATTGAATCTGAGATAATAGTGGCTTAGAAGTTAGCCTGGGATCCCCAGTTTTGCAAGTGTCGCAGCGTCATTGTGGTTCTATTTCACTTAATACCCTCCCATGAAAAGGTAATATGTAGTGAATAAAATATTAAGCATCAGGCTTTAGATTGCTGACACGATGAGATCGTTAAGTTATAAAAGTAGTTGCACATAATATGTCGTGATTGCCTTTTTTTAAACACTTTTTGAGACCTTCAGTCTAGTCTACCCACTTCCGTTCATTAATAAACTGAACAATTCCGCTAGTTCAAGGAGGTCTCCACAAAGTGTTCTTCATTTCTCCTTGACATACGCTTGAGCTCTTGTTCTCCTAAAATCTATTGTGCCATTGAGATACTTGGCATTAAAATTCTCTTTAGTGTCAGTGGGAGCTTAGCTTAATGCCTTCAAAGCTATGAGTGTCTCATAGCATATCTTTTGTTCGATAGAATTAGAAATGGGAAAAGATATACCATATTTAGATCAATTACAGAGGCTTTAATCCATAACGAGGTAGCTTTACTCACATATGCAGCCTTGCTTTCGCTCCATAGCTAGGTACTTCATTGTTTTTGAATAAGCGTCTTTACTTTTTGATTTCCATGAAGTAAAAACTTTGAACTTTCTCCAAGACAAGTGCTATCATTGAATTTTGCGTTGTAGTCAAGAACAATTAGACGACTTTCTACAAACCTCGGCATAGATAGTTGATATATTTACTTATGTGATCTTATAAACTGATCTTCTTAAGCTGACGCGAGGTTGGTACAGGTCTTCGTTCTCGTTGTCGTTGTTTTTGATGTTATTGATCGATGGCTGGTCGATGGTATTGGTTTACTCTCGGCCGGGCTTCCTGGTGTTAACACCGAACTTCTTCTCAGCTGGAGAGCTCAGAAAACTGTATGATCTGTCCTAACAGGAGAGACGGAGATTGCATGAGTTTAGGTATAATATACTTGATCTCATGTAATGCATGCGGCAAGGAATATGTCGGGGAAACAGGTAGACCACTTCGTGTCCGCATAAAAGAACATCTAGGTGGAAAAGCTAAAATCCGTTTAAACACCCCTCTAGGTACGCATAGGGCACAAAAACACAACGGCGATGATTTTGAAGTGAATGTGCGGATCCTAGCGCAGGAATCAAAAACATCAACGCGCAAAACTCTTGAGGCGTTTTGGATAAATTTCAAAAATCCACGGATGAACCGGAAGGACGAATGCCTCACTATCACGCGTGACCTGGCGCCCTATTTTAAAAGTGCCTTGCTCGCGACCTATGTGAACTACGTGTGGGCCAGTCGCGCACGTAACATCACGGTGAGTGGCCTTTCTGTTCAATATGGTGTCTATTTGAAAGTTTGATCTTCATTAAGACTTTAACCTTTCTTTTCCACCGAATAATAAAAAGTATTCTAACATAAAGTACGTCCAGGCTCTGAAGAAGGAGAAGTCGCCGAAACGTCAGCCATCGATGAATAACATCAAAAACAACGACAACGAGAACGAAGACCTGTACCAACCTCGCGTTAGCTTAAGAAGATCAGTTTATAAGATCACATAAATAAAATTAGAAGTTTGGTTGCTTCCTTTGTAAGATCCAAGTCACTAGGCATAAGTGCTGGGCAATGCAGTTATGCTTTAGAAGCCACACGTTGATGTCGATTCTCTTTTCACTGGTATGAAAGTGATTTTCAGTGTCTACAATGTTCAGCAAGGGTGCAGACTCTTAGCGTGTGCATACTTGTTCTGACTGGGCTTCTTAGGAGAATAATGAGCCTGTTTTTTACTTATGAGCTCTGAAGATGAGCACCCTCGAGTACGAATAAAGGATTATCTAAATATGGCTCAGCGTTCCATAACAGAGGTAGAGGGTAACTTGATGCGATCGTTGACTTAGTGATTTTCTTCTTTTCAAGTAATCAACAAGCAATAGTTAGATATTATATAACACTTCCCGGTGATTATCGTTTAGAGCAATTTCGATCTCAACTCCAGAGATTAATGTCATTCTATGATGTGTGCTTGCCAACATGTGCAGTGGAGTAATATCATAGAGAGTCAATAATAGGTGTTATACTCATTCGTCAATGTA